CATCCCCCTTAATTTCTTACACATCATAGGCCCTGGGATCTAAGCTAATTCACATGGCTGCCATAAAGGGCTGGCATGATGCTGAAAATCTGGTCCCAGCATGTTAGGAAATGCAATCTAAACAATATCATCTTTACACGGTGGGGACAGTCCCCTAAGTCTGAAGGCCAGTGATGAAGAGTGAGTAGAAGAGCAGGAGAGCGGTCTTGTTGATGTGCAGGGGGATTTGCTTGGGGGTCTGTAAACATGTGACAGACAGTGGGTGTGATTAAGGCAGTGGAGAAAAATGCAGACATAGCCCAGACTTGGCAGAATGAGGTTCCCACACCCATTCCTGAGATCTAAGTAAGAGAAGGCTGGGGAATTAAGACGAGGCTAGGGTGTCAAATGCTAATCAAAGAAGCCAATCAGACTTCCCTGTCCAAATCAGGAATTGGCTAAGTCAACTTTTTCTGACCATTTGGTGTGAGACAGGCCATAGCCATGGGCAACCTTCTCCTTATTTTGTTGAAATACCAGAATCAGCTCATCACAGGGTGCTAAGGAAGCTGTTTTGGGAGCCAGGAATTCCAGCCCCAGGCATCAAGAAAATAGTTTCATCCTTAAGAGTCTTAGAGCTTACAAGTTTCTTAGCTCACTGTCATGCCACACTAATTCCAGAGTCTTAGAACAGGATGCATTTTGAGGTCACCAATTTAGTAAGAATAATATATTGGAAAGCATGTTGTAACTGGAAAGCGTTATGCAACTGAAAAGCAGGCTCATTAATAGATGATCCAGTCCTGGGTGTGTTGGATGATGTCCCAAGGAGCCCAGGTGGGGATGCCTCAAGGAAGGAGCAGGGAAAGTAAGGGTCTTCTGAGATGCTGAGGGCCACATCCCCATTCCTGACTCAGCCAAAGCACCCTCGTTTTAACTGATATTCATATTGGGGTTCTAAGATTTGTTTAAAATCAGGGGTGCTTCTGAGGTTAATGTCACCATAAGAACCATATGTGACCCTGTCTCCCCACTTTCATGGTAAGGACATTCAACAAGGGTTGCATGCTGTTGCTGGGTCTGGTATGGGTATACAGTAGAGATTGGGATGTAGACAGTCTAGCTCTCTTGGAGGTTACATTCCCCTAGGGCGGAAGTGGAAGACATACAGATATTAAAGGCAGCATTACTAAATTATATGCTAAGTTGAGCTCTAGAGCAGTTGGAAATGCTCCAGAGTGCTTGGATAGACTCTTTGGAAGTCTAACTCTCCCTTAGTCCCCATTAGGGTTCCAGAGATCCCCTTAGGTTTACAGATGCCCTGTGCTGTCCTCAGATGGGAGATGGAGAGTAGCTCAAGTGCAGGTGATTTGGAATTGCCACTTGTGTGAAGGCTGCCGGGTAGGCTTGCAGCTGTCCCAGTGGCCTTTCCTGTCTGTCCACTTGCCAGATGCCTCCTAGCAGCAGATCCACTCACAGAGAACCGGTCTGGGTCAAGTCCCACACATGGAGTGCATGTGGAGTCCCCAGATCCAGAAGCCTCTCCTTCTTAACAACAGAGCCACCCAGGCGTCCCAAGAAGCCTCTCCTTCTTATCACATATCTGCCCCTGCCCAGCTGTCCTAAGTTCCCTGCCCCAGGCTCAATGTTTTAGCTCAAAATCCCTGCATCTCTTCCAATAGAACTTCACCCATCAGGAAAAGGTTGGGTCCCTATTAGACCTGCTCCCAAACCGTCTCCAACAGACAACATGTTTCCCCTCTCTCAAGGGTAGGATGACCTTGGTCTTTAAAAATATTTGCCTTGTCTGCATGCAGTGGAGAAAATAGAGGGAAGGAGGTACATTTTCATTGTGACCTAGGAAAGGAGTTGCCCTTGCATCAAGGGTGGGTAAAAAGGCACTTTCTACAACAAATACAGTAAAAGAGGAAGAAAGGAAGCAAATTTTTTCTTTTTTTTTTTTTGAAGCTTTATTTATTTATTTGAGAGAGAGAGAGAGGGAGAGAGAGCACACTGGAGGGAGGGGCAGAGGGAGAGGAAGAGAGTCCCAAGCAGGTTCCACGCTGAGTGCAGAGCTCAACACTGGGCTCGATCTCACAACCCCGAGACCACGACCCCAAGGCCACAGCCTCAAGACCACAGCCTGAGCAAAAACCAAGAGTCAGATGCCCAACTGACTGCACTACCCAGGCACCCCAGGAAAAAAAAATGTCTACATATCAGTGATACGTGGAATATTGAAACACTTAAGATATCACTACAATTTCTCTCATGGTAAATGGTTTGATAGAGAAATACAAAGTAAGAGAACTTTTAACAGGGGGTCCTGACCCAACCTAGGGAGTCAGGAAGTTATCCCTAAGGGGGCAAGGAGGAAAGAGAGTGTTCTCCGCAGAGGAACAGCATGTTAAAAGGACCCTGGGGCAGATAAGGCCTGGCATAGTCGAGGAACTGAAGGAAGGCCATTGCAGCTGGATAAGAGAGCAAAGGAGAGAAGAACTGGAATGATCTTGGAGAGGTGAGTGGGCACAAGCCATTCGGGGCCTTGGAAGCCATGTCCCGACTGCCTTCATTCTAGGGGAGCAGTAGGATGATGAATGGGTATTAATTTTCATTTATCAAAATTGGAGAAAGGTAAAAATGGATATGGGTAGATGAATTAGGAAACTATCCAGTCATACAGGGGAGAGATAATGGTGTCTTACATTAGCTGAAGGCAAAGGACATGGGGAGTTGTGAATGAATTCAAGAGATTATTAGATGATATCTTCATTGGGGCTTGATCAGCTTGCCTCAGAAGAGAAGGGTATTTTAAGATTGGTTCCAAGGTTTATCATGAGAAAATAAGTACTATTGATTGAGATGGGGAAAACAAGAAAGAGGGCATCATGAGTTCAGCTTTGGACATGCTTAATTTTCTATTCTCGTGGGCCCCCCATCCAGAGCTGCTATATATACAAGTGATGCACTACACGGATCCAGGGCCCCTGCCAATAGCATACAGTTCAGAATTGTCAAGGGCAGATCTAGAAGGCGGTCCCTAACCTCCAGTCTCTACCTTCAGGTTCCCAAAATTCCATGATCCTAACTGACCATTTTTGAAAAGTAATTTTCTCTCAAATTCCTTTGAGGAAGGTCATGCTTTTAGTCTGTGACTTTGATGTCAGGTGTTAATGGTACCCAGACTGTGAGGGAGACATAAAACACAAAATCAAAGGGAAAGATTTCTTTCCCCTTGAGACAGCCTTAAGTTCTTATTTCAGGAAAGAAAAGGGCAGGAGGAGATATGTGTTAATGTTTCCCAATGGTAAGTAAGTCTTTAAAACTCCATTGACAATTTGGCAACAAGGAGAGACCTTCTCACATCTTTTGGCACATTTCAGAAGGTGATGATCACCCAAGCCTTCTCAGAAGTTAAGAGAGGCCTCTTTCATTTTTTTTTTTGAGATTTCTAATATATTAAAAATAAGGAAATGCCAAAACAGAGATACAAAAATTGTGTCACATTTTAAATGTTTACACTGAAGAATCTAATGCTTTTAACAAACACACAATGCCATATGAATGAGCCATTCAGAAGGGTATTGAGGTATTTATAAACAGTACTATGTCATAGTTCAGTATAGGCAGTGTGGTCTGATAACAGGAGTGAAAATAAAATTTTCAAAAAAAACCCTTAAAAATAATTTTGCACAGTGTATAGTGAACATACGTGCCAAAGTTTTATTCAGCTCATGAATTGGGAAATAGAAGGATGACAGTGCTAGTTCACAAGAAGAATATGAAAACTTGGGATTTTTGTGGTCAGTGGGAGATACAGGAATGCCAAAATAAGGTTACTCAATTAGATCCTAATAGTGAATGTGTTCCCATTGCAATGAAATCAGAACCTTTGCCTATCTTGCTTCAGAGTCAGAAAAGAAATTCATCACACCTTATCAGTTTCACAGAACTGCAAATGTCTGGCCCTGAGTCAGTTGTGCTAACCAAGTTACATCCCCCTGGAGATGACATTGAAGAGCGCCAAGCCATCCTTTGCCTTGTTTTTAAGACGTGGATCATTGTTCCTAGCAGGATACAAGTTTGAAGCCATATGATGGACGTCTGCTTTCAGTCCCATCCCTGTGCCTCCATGACAGGCTGTCCTTTGTGCCTGGGGGGCCAGTGCAAATAACCCACTTGCCCCTCGCCCTGCCAGTGGCATCCTAAGGCTTGACCTTCACCCCCCAAAATAGCAGTCAGTTGGATCAAACTCCAAATTGAAAAATAGTCTTGCACGATTGATAGTTGTTTAATAGTGAACTGAAGACTCAGAAGGCAGATTTTTCATGTTGAAAAGCACTGCTGTGCTCTCGTGCTTGGACAGGGGGATTTATCAGGGAAGGCTATTGAAGAAGGGAGAAGAGGCAGTGTAGAGTGAAGGATAGCTTCTGTTGTTGGCACAGTGCTTAAGTAATGCAAATTCAGTAAGGAGAAGCAAGGACAGAGATTTTTATATAATAGAAGAGATTGTCTCAGAGTGTTATTTTTAGGAACTAAAATTCTGTGATTATGACCCAAACACACCCATCCAATACTAAAATCTCCACAGTGAATACTATTAGGGGCTCATTTGGGAGTATGCTTTTATGTTTGAAACCTCCATGTAATATTCATCATTTTATGGAGTTCCATTAAATCTGCAAAACTTATGCTAGCATGGTTTTCATATGCATCACTAATTTTTGAAACCAATTCTAAATTTGCTTTGAAAATAGATTACAGGAAAATTGCAGGTTACAAACAAGACACTGAAAAAATATAAATACCCGCCCCCCAGTCAGTTACTGGTCTTTTCTAATTCAGCATCAATCCTGGCAAATATTCAGACAATTCAGAAACTGACATATCCCCACAGTCCTAGGAAGATATTATAGATTTTATTTTGAGCTGTAGTTTAGCCAAAAACAAAAACAAAAAAACAAAAGCAAAAACAACAAACCAACACACAGTGTCTACAGGCAATGAGATCTGTCACCTACATTTTCTGCAGAGGGTCACTGGCGGCAACTTCAACTGCCTTCTCAACAGTACTCAGCGGCCTCACCTGGGAGAGACAGAACACTTGGGTGGTATTGGTAATTGGACCAGGTTCTGTGTTTCAATTAAATTCCTGCTTGGTTGGTCTTTAAGATAACGCTGGGAGGGCACCTGGGTGGCTCAGATGGTTAAGCATCTGTCTTCGACTCAGGTCATGATCCCAGGGTCCTGGGATTGAGCCCCACGTCAGGCTCCTGGCTCAGTGGGGAGCCTGCTTCTCCCTCTGCCCCTCCCCCTGCTCATGCTCTCTCTCTCTCTCTCTCAAATGAATAAATAAAATTTTTTAAAAAAGATTAACGCTGGGATTTTAATCAAGCACCTGTTGACTAGTGACTACTTGTGTGCCTCTGAGTTTTACCTTCCTCTTCACTTTTCATCAAAAGGCACCCTGATCTGATTTGCAAACCCTTCTATCTCCAGCACACATCCATGTGAGTGTCATATACACATGCAAGATGTACAAAAAATGCTGGTTACTGAATAGACTTCAGTTAAGAGGCTCTGCTTCTCGAGGGAGAATGTCACAGTCACAGGCTTTCTCCCCAGGGCCCCACAATGCCATGATGCTAGTCAATTTCCTGGGAAATTGGGCTGTTACTGCTTCTCCCCCACAAAAAAAAAAAAAAAAAAAAAAAAACAGGAACAAATCAGTGCAGGTAATTCAATGGAAAATTCTATGGAAAAAAACTACCTGTAGTAAGGTGAATAACGCCCCAAAAACATCCAGGTCCTAATCTCTGAAACCTGTAAGTGTTATCTTTTTTGGGAAAAGGGTCTTTGCAGATGTGATATATTAAAGGGTTTTGAGATGAGATTATCCTGGATTATCTAGGTGGACCTTAAATGTCCTTAGAGGACATTTAACTAAGGACAGTTACTAAGGACCATAACTGTCCTTAGAAAGGCAGAGGGGACTTTTGACACACATGGAGGAGAAGGCCGTGTGAAGATGAGGAGATTTGAAGATGCTGGCCTGGAAAATGGGAATGAGGAGGCCTCGAGCCAAGGAATACCGCCACCAGCCCTCCCACCACCAGAGCTGTAAGAGACAAGGGATGGATCCTGTCCTAGTCTCCAGAGGGAGCATGACCTACCAACATCCTGATTTCAACCCAGTGACACTGATTTTGGACTGTGGCTTCTAGAACTGTTGAGAAAATAAATTTCTGTTGTTTTAAGACACCAAGTGCATATGGTCATTTGTTAGAGCAGCAATAGGACATGAATATACTACCTATCTTGGCCCTTCTCCCAGCTGGTTGCCCAGTCTCTGCAGCTACTTCTCTATCATTTTTGAAGCCCCAAAATGTGTGATCAAAAGGTCACTAGATCTACCATCGGAAGCCCTCACCTCCTCTGCCCACTCCTCATATAAAAGCTGTCTTCACTCAGCAACTTGTATAGGTTTCCTAAATTGTATCTGGCCCGAGGACAGATGAACAAGAGAGATGATCTTCACCTTCAAGGAGCTCAGTTCAGGAGGTGAGATAGATGGAAAAAGGGTAGGGCTGTCCAGGACTGCACAGATGCTTCTAAACCCCTTCACCCAGGGTAGAGGGAAGGACGGAGGCATAGCAGAGAGGACTTTCCAGAGGAGGTGATGAAATATGAGCTTGGTAGTAATACTTACAATAATAATGGCCGACATTATTGAGGCTAGCTGCCAGCCACTGCATCAGGAGCCCTAGTGCAGGGGAGCTCAAGCAGAACATGAGGCAAAAGTGCCACCCTGAGTTAGGTGAGGCAGTGGCCTTCCGTGACTCTGCCCAGCATGTGTCACAGAGGAGCTCACCAAATCATCACAGTGACAAGTGAGGCTCTGTTTTCACCCAGATGTTCCCAACCAAGAAACCAAGGCACAGTTAGCTCTTATAGTTAGTAAAGGGTGGGGTGGGGGGTGTGGAGGAGTGAAGTCTTGTCTTCATCCACAGTCCCAACTCTTACCATACTTGGGTGGATGTTACTGTTGTCAGACAGAGTAATTCAGCGTGCAAAAACAAAACAGTGTCGGGGGGGAGGAGCAAGATGTTGGAGGAGTAGGAGACCTGGATTTCGTCTGGCCCCAGGAATTCAGCTGGATAGGGATCAAACCATTCTGAACACCTACAAACTCAACAGGATATCAAAGAAAAGAATAGCAACAACTCTGAACAGAAAAGCGACCACTTTCTGGAAGACAAATGACAAGACAGAAAAAATCACCTCAACAAAAAGAACAAGAGGCAGTACCAACTGCCAGGGACCTAATCAATATGG